GGTTTTGAAAGGTGAAATCAGGCCTCGAGGCGTAACGAGGCATAAGCCCCGAAGTTTAATTGGTTAAGTGTTGCTACAAACCTATGACTTATTAGAAAGTATCATTGTTCTAAAACTCGCTAGGCGCTAGTCGGGCGGTTGAGGGGCGCCTAGCGCCTAGGCGGCCGACTAGGCCGATTTTTAGGCCGACTAGGGCGATTTTTTGGCCGACTAGGCCGATTCGGCCTCTACGGTTAGGGCCGACTAGGCCGCCTAGGCCGATTAATCGGTCCGCCTAGGCCGATTTTTAGAACAATGGAAAGTATAGATAAGTCATAAAAATAATGCAGCTTAACAAAATCACAAGTAAAACGAACATAATTATAAAATATTTAAGTCCAAATAACATAAAATTGAAATACCAAAATCAAAACTCAAGAGAAAATAAAACATGAAACTGTAATCAAAATGATATACGAAAATACTAAGTACGTAGTATTAATTTTTTAACAAATAAATTAGTATTTAGCAATAAATTAGTATTTAGCATAAACCTGAATCTATGCCTCTTCATAAAAAGGCGCAAGCCTTGTTCCGGGAAGTTAAGGCTTAAGCCTTACGCTCTTGCCTCTCACTTTTGCCCAAATAAATGAGATGTCAATTTGGATGCCTCATTCCGAATTCTTGAAAACATATAAGCTGCGTGTGAGTCATAATCTTGTGTTATCATTTAAGTTGAAAATGAGGTTGTTTGCTTATCATTGGTTTCTGCATTACTAAAGCTCCAACTAGAAGTTGAAGTATGACCAATATAGCGACCTATTAAATTATAACAATATACAGGTAGTTCGAATTATGAAATAAATTGAGCACAATAATTACAATATATTGGTATATAAGCTTCAATGAGTAAAGTTTTTAGTAATTCGGGAACAGGTCGCCTTTGGTGCGTAGAGTTCACCAGAGACTATATATATATATATATATATATATATATATATATATATATATATAAGATGAAAAGAAAAAAATACAGCAACAAGAGAGAAGGGTAAGTACTTTGGCGTTAGTGTTTGAGAGGCGTAAGTGTAAGGGTTGCTTTTATATCATTAGTAATTGGCACTACACAGCCGTGCCAACATTAATAAAATGTTTGTGTAGCCAGTACTTTGGCACGGAAGGGAGTTACGAAAAAAATATTTGAGATTCTTCCAACATCTTGGGACACATCGAGCACGGAACCTCCGTGCCAAAGAAACGGTCACATTTGTGTTGCACAAGTTCCAAACACGGCTCGTCAGAAGTGTCAGGCTGACACCATTTGGGACAAACTTGCCACAACTGATCCGTGCCAAATAAAAAATGTCGAACTTTCCACCTCAAAAAGTTTGGTTTTTCCTTTGAATATTAAATGAGATTTTTTCAAAATTACTATTAAAATTAAATTCATTTATAAAAATATAATTAGTAGTTAACTACTTACTTCGTACAATGTAATGTCGTGGTATTTTATGTTTAAAAATTGAACATAAAATACTTTGAGAGGCCGTTTACGGCAACACTGTTTTTCAGCTTATCGGGCTTATCAGTCAATTCTTTCACCAAACACGTAACTTTTTCGGCTTATAAGTAAGGTTGGAGTTACTTTTCTGGCTGTATTGGCTGAAGTTACTGTAGATGACCATTTTAGCTATTTTACATATCATTTTTTTGTTTAATTAATTAATAAAATTAATTTTAAAAAATATTTTTATCTTAAATCAGCTGAATCAGCCACTTCAGCCAGAACTTCATAAATTTCAGCAGAATTAGCCAAAACAGCCGATTTTCGTGCTACCAAATGGGCTCTGAGTCCATTACTATTCTATTCACTAGTAATTATGACGAAATTAAGACGAAATAATTTGCATTATTCAATACGAAATACAAAACATTATTCAGGACAAGCAGAATTTAAAATTGCAAAACAGCTACAAATTACATATTGTTCATTCATCTTCATCTTCAGTATCTGGGTCAGTATGGTCAATGTAGTCATCTTCATCTGTATCTTCCGTCTGGAAGTTCCAATCCTCCTCATATTGACTTCCTTCGTTGGGGTCATCGTTGCCGTCGTTGGGATCAGGTTCTATTTCTGCTCCAGTAAAATCTTCCAAAATAATTTCCCCGTCAATAGTTTGTGGAACCGGAGCTAGAAAAAACTCTTGTTGGTAAACGTCAATATCGACATTCTTATGTATTGCATGAGAAACGACTTTTCTCGGTCTAATTGTGCAAGCGCAAACCCAAGGAGATATTCTCTGCTTTGTTGTCGGATATTCTGCGTAATAAACTTGGGCAGCTTGTTGAGCTAAAATGAATGGCTCATTTTTCTGATATACTCGCGCATGATTCACATCGCGTAAATTGTGTATGTTGTCTTTTCTCACCCCCCTCACGGGATCTACCCAAGTGCATCGGAAAAGTACAATCGATAACTCCTTTTCACCTGCAAATTTCATCTCTAGTATCTCGTCAACATATCCAAAAAAGTCAGTCTCTGAGTTATCATAACTGCATGTTGGGACACACACTCCACTGTTCATTGTGGGTTTATTGTTTCCATAGGCTCGAGTGTGATATTTGTAGCCATTGACAAAATAGACAGACCAACACTTCACTAAAGTTTCGGGCCCCCATGCTAGTGACTCCAAAAAAGGATCCATAGTCCCAGTGGCGGCTTCACTCAGTATCTGGGACAAATGTCAAAATGAGTTTATGTTATAAAATACTCGGTAAAATAATGTATTTTATCAAATAGTGTAATGATGTACGTACCGTATCCTTGAACCATCTTGCAAAGTTAGTGTCGATGTAACGATCAATGTCCTCATTCCCGTAACCGGCACTGGAAAGTTGTTCTCTGCAGTCACTGCAATGTAGAATATTATATATGTATTAGTAAATACTTAATGAACAATAAAGTGCTAGTTTATAATAAGTCCACTCACTTGTAATACGGAATCACTTCAGGACAGTTCACCAAAATGTAGGTGTGTGCAATTCGGAACTCATCTCCGACAACATGACGATGTGTTCGTCTACCATAACCTTTGCCGGGATAGTTGAAAATCGATACATTTTTTTCATACAATCCCTCATCAATATCATCATTTCTAGCTGGTCTCTTTCGTCTGGTAATCACGTCTCTTTCAAAATAGAAAGAAGAGAATGTAGACGCCCATTTCTAGGCGAACATAGTAACTGAAAAAGTTGGGAAACATCAGCAATACACGCCCATACATTAGCCGGAAGATTTTCCTTCAGAGCAACTGAGAGTAAACGCTGCATGATTACGTGACAATCATGACTCTTCATTTTTTTCATTGACAACTTTTCTAAGTCAACAATTCTGTTGAAGTTGGATGTGTATCCATCTGGAAATCGCAACTGAATAAGCCACTCCAATATTTTTTGCTTTTGTTCAACCGTCACTTGGTAAACAGCTTTCTTGTAGGTCCCTGCATATCCAGGTCCCATACCTATTTCCGGCCTATCACAATACAAAGCTACATCCTTTCGGGATGATAGACCATCTTTGGTTTTCCCTTTGAAGTTCATGACTGTGTTGAAAATGTTATCAAAAACATTTTTCTCAATATGCATTACATCCAAATTGTGTCTAATGAGTAGATCTTTCCAGTATGGTAATTCCCAAAAAATACTTTTTTTGGTCCATTTATGATCAGTCCTATATCCATCCGGATACGCAAGAGGTTCATCTATGGCAGAAGGAATGTGTTGAACACGATGATAAATTTGATATCCTGTCAACCTCGGAGGTGGAGGATCACGCTCAACGCGCCCCTTCCGGAAAGACTTTTTATCCTTTCTGTATGGATGCTTTTGAGGGAGAAACCTGCGGTGACAATCAAAATAAGATGGTTTGCGGCTATTTTTTAGATAAAATGCATTTGACTTCTCCATACAAACAGGACACCCCATAAGGCCTGCGGTACTCCAACCAGATAGCATTCCATATGCTGGGAAATCACTAATTGTCCATAAAACTGCAGCTCTCAAATTAAATATCTGCTGTGTCGTAACATCATATGTAGGAACACCTACATCCCATAGTTGTTTCAACTCCTCAATCAATGGTTGTAGGTACACATCAATTCGTTTCTTAGGATTACCAGGTCCCGGACACATCAACGATAAAAACATAAAATGTTGTTTCATACACATGTCCGGAGGCAGATTATACGGTGTGATGATAATTGGCCAACATGAGAACTGTCCGCCAAATTGACCATATGGGGCAAAACCATCAGCACACAACCCAAGACGAACGTTGCGTGGTTCGAAAGCGAATTCAGGATAACATCGGTCCAAATGCTTCCATGCATCCGAATCAGATGGGTGACACATTAATCCTTCTTCTGTGTCATGCTCGACATGCCACGTCATGTATTTAGCGGTAGCACTTGACGCATACAATCTTTGTAAACGTGGTGCTAAAGGCAAATATATCAATTTGGATGCTGCAGATCGTTTTCGTGGTTTGTGGCTCATTGCTGACATAGGCTTGTACCTATCCTCATTACAAAATTTACAACGGGTCAATCCCTCGTCATTTTTCCAAAATAACATGCATCCTCCGGGGCATGCATGGATTTTAATCATAGGAAGACCCAATTCAGAGACGAATTTTTTCATGTTGTAATACGTGTCGGGAAGAGAATGATCACGTGGTAACATGCTACCAACTGAGTCAAGTATCCTGGACATGCAATTCTCAGACAGATTATATTCGGACTTTATATTCAAAAATTAAGAAACCGCAGATAGCTGCGAATGACCATCACAATCAGAATACAATGGTTGATCCGCACTTTTAAGAACATCTTGAAATCGCGTGCCTAAAGCATCAACATCATAAAAATATGAACTTGGTCCCTCACCCGCATTACTGTGTGCGGTGAAATCATTATTCGGATAGGTATCCGGATGGTTATTGGGAAATGCAGAAGAACCAACCAAATCATAAACCATTCTTTGCTCCCATTCCATATCTGCATAATTTCCCCACGCAGCCATCTCATCGGGAACATAGTAAGATGTTCCCACAGGTTGAGGCAAATAACATGTCTCAATCGGTTCTCCTTGAGAAGTCCAATTGTAATAGTTTTCGATAAAACCATGAGTATATAAATCCCAACACACGTCCTCACCAAGCAAGAATTTGTTATTTTTACACTCCTTACACGGACATCTTATCTTATTTCCGTCCATGTACTGTGTTTGTTGTTGTGCCCACTTAACAAATTCAATAACTCCATTCTTAAACTCGTTTGTTAATCCTCTACCATTGTCAACATATTTATTGTACATCCAATTTCTATTTTCTCTATTCATTGTGCCTGAATATAAAAAAAATTAAGGAATTATTTAATTTATTGACTAAGCAAGTACATTCAACCAGTAAACCTTCTAATTATAAACCACGAGTATAGTAAGCTCATTCATAATACTCATAATTCAACACATGCATGATATAACGAATATCCGTGCCTATAACGCACTCTTTGGGTAGTGATAATAAAATTACTATTTTAACAACTACGTTTTAAAATTAGTGTGTGAATTAATTTAATGCGTGCTATTATACAATGCTATTACATAGGGGTGGGCACGGTCCGGTCCGGTCCAATATTTGGCCGAACCCGTACCCGTACCGTTACTATTGAAACGGTTCGGTTCAGTTCGGTCTTAAACCTAAACCCGTTCGGTACAGTCCATTTTCAAACGGGACGGTGTCATGCCATACCAATGCCAAATAATTCCACTTTCTCAAAGTGTTTAAGGAAAAATTAAAGTTTAGGTATCTTCCAAAAATCCACACAATTTAACAATTTTCATATTTCATTTAATAGTTTTATTATTCATTTAATTAAGATTTCACTTTTTTTATTATATTCTAATTTGGCCTTTTAGAAAAAAAAATACTTCGTGACGGATTTTGCAACTTTAAAGATATTTAAATCTGGTTTCTACATATGTAAATTTTAATTATTAAAAATTGTACGGATTATTAATTATCATTAGGGAGGACTTAACATTAACATTGATAAAAAATGTTGACTTTGCAAATCAATTTGGGACGGATAAGGTAACTAATACAGAGTAAATTAATTTTAGATAAACTATAATAGTACAAATTTTAATAATTTAACTATACTTCGGTCTGGTTCGGTCCGGTACCGGTTCTCATTTTATGAGAACCTGTCATGGCATTGTTTGGAACCGGTACAGTCCAGTTCGGGACAAAAAAATTGAGATCCGTTTCAAACCCCGTTTATCGGTCCGGTACCATACCGGTCCAGTTCGGTACCATGCCGGTTCGGTATTTTTGCCCGCCCCTACTATTTTACAATATTAAAAGATAATTAAAAATCAATCTAACTAAAGAATTAGAGCTTAAATAAATTAAAAAATTATAATGAGAAAAAACATACCTACGAACGGACACAAAATATAAATTCTTCCGAGAAAATCCAATGCACAATGTTCACTTCAACATCCACATATAGCATAGGCAACATCTCTTTGCAAATCCATATTCATCATTCTATATCATTAACTATGAAGAAAAATTGAGTGTGAGTACAAAACTAAAAAAGGATGGGTATTTATAAATAATTCTTGGCACGGACATAGGCACGGACTTAGGCACCAAGCTGATTTACCTCCCAACGGCCACTTTATTGGCACGGCATTTTGGCACATCTCCGACAACGGTAATGTTTTGGCACGATTTTAGGCACGGCATTGGCACCCCTAGACAACGGTTGTATTTTGGCACAATAAATTGGCACGCCCATGGCACGGTCTGGCTAACGGTAATATTTGGGCTCGAACATAGGTACGGATTTGGCACGGCGCAGGCATGACATATGCAAGTCGACGACAACGGTAACATTTTGGCACGGCTATGGCACGACCATGCTAACGGTAGTATTTAGACCCGGCATAGGAACAGATTTGGCACGGCCTTGGGCACGTCCTCAAACGGAAAAATTTTGGCACTGCTAAAGCCGTGCCAAGGTTATAACGGCAACGTTACCGGGTTTCGCTTCCGTTTACTTTGGACGGGATTTGGCACGAACGTTGATCTGCCGACGTTGGCACGGCTCTCGTTGTGCCAAATGTGGAGCCAGTTGAAATGCCCACAATTTTTGGGACGAAGTTGTGCCTATTGTTGTGCCTAACATGGCACGCATATTGGACGTGCCAATCTGCCGTGCCAAAAACGCGTTTTTTTGGTAGTGTCTGTAAATGTAAACTCTCTTCATTTCAGGTTATCTTCAATTCAAAGATCAAGTAATCTCAGGTTGAATGGTTGTTTCCTATTTATAAACTATTGTTCACTTCCTTTGAGTTTTGAATGTAGTGATAATGCTGTTAATTTCAGTTGTTTTCCTATTTTAAATATAGTATTCGGATTGAATTTTAAGATGAATTGTTTGATAAAATAGTTTGTTGTACTCTTGATGTCATTAATCCTACTTGCTTGGTTCATTGGAGATTTTGGGCTGACATCATTGTTGGGTCACTAACATAAATAAATGAATGACGTGGCAAAAAGAATTATAAAGTATTGGGGCAAGGCTGATAGATAAATGATACAAGGCATGATTAAAGAAAGGATATGCACGATCAGTTAAACTAGCCGCAAAATAGATGGGATAGTGGGAAGAATCCAACTGACAGATACAAGCTAGGAAGCAGGAGACAAATTCGCCGGGCATTTAAGCCACTTACGTAGAGTAGAGTTTTAATATAAGTATAGCTGAATTCATAAGCAAAAGAGGAGGATCATTTTAGATCAATTCTTCTTTTTGCTATTGTACTCAAGCCCATAAACTTGCTAATTTCAATACATACTGCTCTCGTTTCATCATTAGAAAAACTTTCATTTGGCTTTAGTAATTTTAGCTCCATTAATTCTTGCACGTTCCCTACTCAAATTAGATTGTATTTAGCTTGTCAATAAATTGCTTAAACAGTCATTTTGGCTGATTTAATTTTTATCCTTTTTTGTAGTACATGGATACTTTTGAAAGAAGAAATAAAAGGTGGTTCCATTTAGAGAACTCGGGTCTGCCAAGCTCAAGAATAAACTAGAGGTGGTGACCTTTATTTTTCATTGTTTTTCATTGCAAAAATTGGAAATAATGTTTGATTTTTTCGTGGGGAGACAAACTGAGAAAAAATACTGCAAAATCTAAGCTTCTCTGTATCGTTCCAATTTTATCGGATGTCCCCGAAGGGACGCAAAATCTAAGATTCTAAACAGCAAACTTGGCAAACTCAAATACCAAGTACACATTTTCTGCTACATGTTGTGTAATAAGATTGCCTAATTGAGTTGTTAGTATATTTGATTATTTATTGCTTTTTAAGAATTAAGAATGCAATCTATAACTAGATTAGATTACATTTTATCAACTGGGTTAAAGTGATTAAGAATCTAGTACTCTGGATGTGTAGTGATGTGTACCACTTGATTTTTATTTGTAGGAGGCTATTAACAGGTTAACCGATGCTTTCTATGAAGTTGAAATTGGGATATCTAATGAAACAAAAGCTGCACTGGAATGTCCAAGTTTCTTCCCACAAGTCATCTCCCTTAATCTCAGCGGCGGCCTCATCTTACCTCATTTCTGCGACTCCCTCTCCCTAGTAAGACACTCAGCGGGTTGAACTTACCACTATGGTTATCACCTTGCGCTTTTGGTGATGAATGTCTTCAATCGTCTCTTCTTCTGGTGAGTTTCCCGCCATTTGTATGTGATTTTATTTCAACTCACTGTTTTGAATGCTTTTGGCCCATCGCCAACTGATCCTCTCATCCCTAATGGGTTTTGCGTTTGTAAGATTCGATAATCGATGAAAATGATGAATTTTTTTGTGGGTTTTAAGTATTCGTTCATTATGACTATGTGCGACGAGCATGGGGTAGTTAAACATTTAAATGTATTTGTATTTGCATTAGCATATGAATGAGTTATGTGTGTTCGTGTGTATGTTGGCACAAACTAGCGATTACTGAGAGCATAGAGACATATTGAAGGGAGAGTTAGGTCCTTGTTAGCTATTACTCTAGTTGTTGATTATACATTCGTGATTGCACAGAATCCATGAGCTCCCTGATTGTGTTAAGAACTTAAGCAGTGAAATCAAAGATCAAATTGTGCCCGATTCTGAAGATCAAGGAATCCATGAAACCGAAGGCATTCATGCCTAAGCACAAATAACAGGGAGGTGTGTACGAAAGAGAAGATATGCTCCTTCCTATCATTCATGTGAAGGTGAGGATGAGTTGAAACTTTCTCTGGGTCAATAGACAAACCACTTTTGATGAGTATATTGATTCAATTACCCTTCTCATGTGTTCAGGATACCCAAGGAAGCAGAGGGAGTCCTTTGTTGGCTATCAATGGGGACATATATGTTGATAAGGGCTTGCAAAATTGGGAGTGCGATGAAAGAGCTAATAATTTGGGTAACTACATTGAAGCTAGAAGTATTTGACTGGTAAGACAATGCCTTCCCATATACACACATTTTCCTGAATATGAATATAGTATTCTAGATGTATAATGACATGTATCAATTTATTTATTTGAGGCTATTAAGAGGTGAATCAATGCCTTCTATGTACATGAAAGTGTGATATCTAACAAAACAAAAGCTGCAATGTCCAAGCTTCTTCCCACAATCCGATTCTTGCTTTCAAGGCTATCAAGACTTGCATGAACAATTCTTATCCCATTAGACATATAGTTTTGGCTTTCAAATATTTTGTACACATTTTAAACAATATTGATGTTGTGTACTGGTGTATGTATTTTTTTTGGAATATTTTTACGCTACACTACATTTTAATGTGGGTTATTATTGTATACTTGTTATTTGTTTGCTTGATTGTACTATTACCTTTCAAATTAAAAATATTATGTTTTGATTTTGAGAATATTTTGAACATGTATCTTCATATTCAATGAAGCAATATATGGTAACAAAAGTAATAATGATGTTTAAAAAAAGAATTTATAAATATATTTGAAATCCATTTTTGTCAATATAAAAGAAGTAGTGGCACAATTTAGTGACTGAAATTTCGTCACAAAACACAATGGCGGAAAAGTCCGGCACTAAATTTCGTTTTTATTTTGTGACGGAAATTATATTCCGCCACTAAACACAATAGTGTCCAGATTTTAGTGACAGACGATCCGCCATAAATATCCGTCAGCAAGCCTTTTTGTGGCAGATTTAGTGACGGAATTTCCGCCAGTAAATTCCGTGAATTCTTGTAGTGTCTGACCCAATAAATTACCCTTCACTATTTGCTATGGTTAATGAATTTGCTATTTCATTTTTTAGCAACTTAAAATCAAAAAAATTGAAAATGATGAATTGGTTTAAAAAACCTTTTCACTTTTCCTTTAAAAAAACCCTTTTCACTTTTTCCATAATACGGAGTATTAAAAGTACTTTATTTGTCAAATACTAACACCTTTTACATTCAAAGTCATTTCTATTAATAAAAAAAGTATTAAAAATTAAAATTTGAAAATTTGTAATGAGATGAATTGAAAAACATTTTTTTGAAAACCTAATTTGTAGTCGTCAAAGTAGATTATGTGAACAGTGCAAAAAATTATGAAACTCAAATCTTTATGAATTTTAACAATACCCCTGCCCCACTTAAGGTAAAATGGGCTCTAGAATTATGAGTGCAGATAAAATTAAAGTGCTGGGCAACCAACCAACGTTCTCTATGTTTTTGCAAATTCACATCACAGCACCGAAGCTTTATCCCTCCATTGCCACCACTACAAAAAAAAACAATTGTTTGTCTACGGTTTCAGAAACGGAATAACCAAAGAAAACCGTCACTGACAAAATTAGAGACGGAAAAGTGATGGTTTTTTACCGTCAACATATGCCGGTTGCAAATATTAGCTATGGTGTTGAGCGACAGATTTTTTTTATCTTGCGACGGTTTTAGAAACGGTAATATCCGCTTCAATCAGTGACGGAATGATGGTTGCTGAAGGACACCATTAATTTAACCGTCGCAACATTAATTTATTTAAAAAAAACAATATTCCGATATCTTTCTGTCTCGATCAAATTGACCATTCTAAAAACAAAAGCCAAAACCTAGCTTGGTGCATCTCCTTCAATTCTACTCTTCAAATACGTTTCTCAAACAATGAGAAAATTAAATCACTTCCAAACGATTCTGAAAATAATTAATTTAAACAATTAATTCTGTATCCATAAGTTATTGGAAATCAATATTAAATATTAAGAGATAGAAGGGTGTATAGGATGCCCGTTAATTTTCAATTGCTAATGCCCTAAATAATTTTCAATGTATCTGGAATTTCCCAAAAAAGTGGGCATGTTAATCGCATGATATAGCACAAGCGGGAACAGGTTTTGAAGAGACGGTCCTATTTCGAATACGTTTATTTTGAATGGCCTCACAAAAAATGCATTCCAACGAACCAACCCAGAGATTCAAGTGTAAAACATCTTTGAAAGCAAACAACAATGCTAAGTGATGAAGATCATTCTGCTATGCATTTAAGCTATTGGATTTGCGGTTAACGTGTATTTGGATACAACTTTCCGTGGATCACCGTGTCTATATATTGTATGGAACCAAGGTTTTAAATAGTTGTAGCGGCAGCGGTAGCGGTCATCGCGGTCACCG